AAGTATCGGTAAGTGTGTCCGGAGGACGATGAGCGGCGGATGATGAATCATTGGCATGAGTTGAAACCTGGTNTAGGGAAGTAAAGTGATGAAAAATTACCTGTTGTGCGGCAAGTATCGGTAAGTGTGTCCGGAGGACGATGAGCGGCGGATGATGAATCGTTGGCATGAGTTGAAACCTGGCTAGTGGCGGTTGCCATACGGTCCATTGTAGAGGCGTGGGTCTTGTTTTCGGCGACTGTGATGTTGTTGGCATAATTCATGTAAGTGCTGGTGGGACGTGTTTTATCTAAGTTGGCAAAAGTGACTGCGGCAGAATGCAATGTACGGGGGGGCAATTCGTCAGCAAGTTTGACGTAGGCGTTGATCGGATAAGCGCTGGCGTGTGCTGTACGTTCGTCGGCAAGGTTGACGGAAGCGTGATTTTCATAAGCAAGATAACCTATGGGCGGATTGTAGGTGTAATTTCGCGACACGAAGGGTTCGGTGGCGTGAAAATGGCCCGTGTCGGCAAGAGTGACGATGGCCTTTGTTGATGCTAGGGTTTGTTTCAAAGTTAACCTCTCATTTTCTGAAGCGGCAAGAGAACGTTGCAAAGTTTTTATTTGTTCCTGTAACTTTGCAATAGCATCTTCCTGCTCAACTACAGTGCAATCTAATTCGTTTTCTGAATCGTGTTCCGCATCTGAATTCGGCATTACTTTGCGATTAGTTTCAGTGTTCGTTGAGTAAACTTTTCTATTTCGCAAATTATAGCGTCGCATTCGAAGAACCAAGTTAATGATTCTCACGTTGCTTTGAGAATAAATATTAAAATAATGTAACTGCGGCAGCGAATAGCACAAATATATTAAGAACAACCGAGTATTTTTTATTTTGTAAGGTTTAGCGTTTTAATATCTAAAAAATTGTTTTGGATTAGTACAATAAAAATTAGAAAATTATATCCCTTACTTATTCGTGCTTCTCCTCAGTCTTTCGGTTAGCGAAAAAGGCCGGAAGAAGCCATTTTCGTTCGAGTTCAAACATTCTCGGTAGAGTATAAAACAATGTTAAGTTACAATAGACAAAAGAAGGTTGCCAAATATTCATATTCAAATTCAAGTCTTAAACTAGTATAAATTATAGCGTGGTTCTGTCCACAACAATAGTAGTATCTTAAAAGAGAACTGAGTTGTCAATAACACCTTGTTTAATACACCCATGATACAAATATTTAAAGGTAAAACCGCTTGCTCAATTCGTCGGCCATCATTTATTTTTTGAAGTTTGTCTACTTTATAAAATTGAAATTTTGAGAGCAACTCAAATGCCAAATAAAAGTGAAACAAAAAACAAATAAATGAAAATATTGAGATTTCCTTATATTTGAGACTGAAAATGAGAATGTATTTGTCAGATTGGAAATTTGAAATCATTTTTTTTTATATTCAACAATTTATATTGAGCTCGAGGCCGTTTTTAAATGAAAATTTATTGTGGAAAAGCAACAATAATTTGAAAAGTGGTAGAAGTGCTATTTCGGNTGGCCTTATAACAATTATATTCAACAATTTTTATGAGCTCGAGCCGTTTTTAAATGAAAATTTATTGTGGAAAAGCAACAATAATTTGAAAAGTGGTAGAAGTGCTATTTCGGAAATCACCACATTTTCCTCATCAGACTTCTTTCAGTAGGATTCGAACCGACGATCCCACTGACTCAGCCAGTTGCCTATGCACCGTGCTAAGACCGCCTTGTAAATTAGCGTTTGCTTTTTTCCACTATTTTCATTTTTGTTATGCCAACACAATCAAGCGCAGCTATTCCGCTGCAAATTAACTTGATCATGTGGTTGTTGGTATTGGCGTTATAACCATTATATTCAACAATTTATATTGAGCTCGAGGCCGTTTTTAAATGAAAATTTATTGTGGAAAAGCAACAATAATTTGAAAAAATGGTAGAAGTGATAGCTATTTCGGAAATCACCACATTTCCTCATCAGACTTCTTTCAGTAGGATTCGAACCGACGATCCCACTGACTCAGCCAGTTGCCTATGCACCGTGCTAAGTACGCCTTGTAAATTATCGTTTGCTTTTTTCCACTATTTTCATTTTTGTTATGCTAACACAAACAATTTTTTTGATGTTAGCAAACTTCAAAAATGTTCAGGCTGTCTCTCAGCGGTTTTACCTTCAAATTTTTGTATCATGAATACACCTTGGTCGAGATATCACGAACAAGTTTTCCTTTCTTTATTTTTACCTAAAATCTTTAAATATGTATCTTGACTTTTTTCTGTAGATTACGTATTCATTTTTTTAACCGATTTTAAAAAAGGGAGGACAGTCTGGTCTACGTAACCAGAACGGCCGGAATGCTCATTGAAGTCGGTTGTATTTTTTGCTTAAAATTATATGTTATTATTGAGATACAGTTTCGCTACTATTTAGAGTTTTCTCGACATACTTATTCACATTTCTGTTATTTATTATTTTTCTTATTAGTCATTTATAGATTTAGGACTTACTGCGGGTGCTTTAAGATTCATTTTGTAAATATGTACATATAAAAACAATTTCGATATTTTATTTTAAATTATGAA